AATTAATAGAATGACAGCCCTGTCAGCAGTCCTTTTGTCCATTAATGTGTTGACTTTTATGTTGTCAGGATACTTGGCACTCTGGAATGTAAGCTCTGTTAAGTTGAACTTTTATCTCGTTTTCTGCTGTATCTCTAGCATCTGGAAGAGCACTGAGCACACTGAAAGTTCTCCGTGAATACTTATGGAGGCTGCAGAATTTATAAGGAAAAGAAGTTTATTTGGTTTACAGTTCTGTAGGCTGTACGAGAAGCATGACATCAACATTTGCTTCTGATAAAAGCTTCAGGAAGCTTCCACTCATTGGGGAATGTAAAGAAAAGCAGGCTTGTGCAAGTCACATGGTGAGAGAGGAAGCAAGAAAGAGGGGAGGGAAGTGCCAGGGTCTTTTAACAGTCAGCTAGGGGGTGAACTCTTGAGGGAATGCATAGAGTAAGCCCTCACTCACTACTTCAAGGACAGCACTAAGCCATTCATGAGGGATCAACTCCCATACCCAAACACTTCCCACCAGGCCCCACATCTAACAATGGGGATCAAATTTCAACACAAGGCTTGGAGGGGACAGATATGAAAATTATACAAGATAGTTATTATTCCATACATTCTGATCTGTTTCTGGGAGAGATGAAACTGTATTTCTTCATGATTTCCTTCCAAAATTATTGATGAAATACAGACTTTGTTTAGTCTGTGTACCAGAGTAGTCGCTGGAGATTCATGACTGAACAAGTTCATTACTGGATTTAAGGTGGCCATACATGAGTAGGGTTAGACGAACTCATGTGAATCATCGCAAAGCAAGTACAATGACTAGAGAGATACATAGATGATATATTAGATAGAGGTATATGGATACACATAACTACATATATGTACATATATATACATATGTATATTACACAAAGATGTATGCATTATAAATTAAAGGAAATAATAGATGTAGGTATAAGATTTTATTCATATAGATGGGAGAGAGCTTAGGCTAGCCCAAGGTGTCATAAGAGGAATCAGAAAGAGACAACTCCTGAGCTGAATCAAAGACCCTTCAAGGAGAATTGTGACAAAGTGGGGTTGGAAGAAACCCTCCCTGCAGGGCATCATCAAGAACTTTAGAAATTCCTTATTGATAGGGCACATGAGTCAAGAGGAGTGAGAGTATTTCCTGGGGAGGTGGACAAAAGTTCTTGCTAAGGCACATGGGTTTTGCTTTGGAGGTAATAGCAGCCACTGAAGGGATCATTCAAGGAACATGCCATGTGTTGGTTTGATTTTGACTCGTGAATAATTCTAGTGACTCCAGGAAATGGCTTTCAGGAGAACAATGTTGATGATGGAAAGAGTGATTTAGAGGCTCACACACTAATCCAGGCAAGAAATGACTAGGAGCTTGCAGGAGCCAGACGAAGTAGAAATACATGAGAGATGGAGGGGAGGTGGAGGTAGGAAGAGTCAAGAAAAAACTGGGAATAAAGTCAAAGGAAGTTGGAATGTGACTGGTTAAGGGCAAAGGCACAACAATGCCTGCAAGTTCCATTTCTCTAGATGATGTGAGTGAATTGATAGGGAACACATAAGAAGATAGAAGTTTGGGCCGGGCGTGGTGGCTCAAGCCTGTAATCCCAGCACTTTGGGAGGCCGAGGCGGGTGGATCACAAGGTCAAGAGATCGAGACCATCCTGGTCAACATGGTGAAACCCCGTCTCTACTAAAAATACAAATAATTAGCTGGGCATGGTGGCACGTGCCTGTAATCCCAGCTACTCGGGAGGCTGAGGCAGGAGAATTGCCTGAACCCAGGAGGCGGAGGTTGTGGTGAGCCAAGATCGCATCATTGCACTCTAGCCTGGGTAACAAGAGTGAAACTCCATTTCAAAAAAAAAAAAAAAAAAGGAAGATCGAAGTTTGAAGAAAAGATTGTGAGTTCAGTGTAGGACAGAGAAAGTATGAGATACCTGTGGGTTGTATGGTGTGCAATAAACAGCTTATTGTGCATCTGATGTTTTCTGTGGTGGAGGACAGCCTGAACGTTGTCCACTGGGGAATCAGTGCCCTAAAACAGGCATTGGAAAGCATGGGAGTGGACAGCATCACCCAGGAAATAACCAGGTAGAGTGAGAAGACAGCAAGCCGAGGACAGACTTCTGAACAACAACATTTTACTGGTGAGAAGGCAAAAACGTGTCTGAGAAAGAACTAGAAAGGGTGAAAGGAGAGCCACGATAGTGCAAAATCACAGAAGCAAAAAGGTAAAAAGCTTTGTGAGAGTGAACTTTCAAGATCTCTTCAGGATCTTGGTGGAAAAGTCCAAGCTCTTTAGTTTGCCATACAGGGCCCTCCCTCTGGCTTGGGGTGTGTCTCTCCAGTCTCTTCTCAGACACCAAGAGACCTGGAAATTAAGGAATGAAGTTTTTATTAGAATCTTCAGTAAAAAAAGTTACTGATTTCCCACTGAGAAAACTATTATAATTGAGTATGATGTTAAATGTCAGATTGCAAAGGACCAAGGAAGAAATGAGAAAAATGTAAAGTGCATATAGGAGATATATATTGCTGTTTCAGTGAAGTGTAGGTACGATGGTGATACGGTTTGGCTCTGTGTTTCCACCCAAATCCTGCCTTGAATTGTAATCCCTAGGTGTCAAGGGAGGGGGTTGGCATGAGGTAATTGGATCATGGGGGCAGTTTTCCCCATGCTGTTCTCATGATGGTCAGTGAGTTCTCATGAGATCTGATGGTTTAAAGGTGGTACTTCTCTTTGCTCTCTCTCTCTCTCTCTTTTTCTCTTCCTCCCTCCCTCCCTCCCTCCCCCCCCTCTCTCTCTCCCTCTCTATCACCTGTCACCATGTAAGAAATGCCTCTTTGCCTTCTGCTATGATTGTAAGTTTCCTGAGGCCTCCCCAGCCATGCAGAACTGTGAGTCAGTTAAACCTCTTTTCTTTTATAAATTACCCAACCTCAGATATTTATTTACAGCAGTGTGAAAATGAACTAATAGAGATGAGAACAGGTAGAACAAGTTGGTGATTAGTAGAAAGTTCAATCCAGGAAGGCATGTTTAAATTGGGAAAACCTGGATGTATTAGTAGTCCAAAGTGCAGATTCCAGCTGAGATTGGAATACAGGAGAGATTGAAGATATGGGGGAGAGAGGGATGATGAAAGAAAAAGACTTGAGGAGAAGGAAAGAGATGCAAAGGCATAACTTGCAGACTTCAACAACCACAAAAAAGAGATGCCTTATGGACTGAAATGGGAATCACAGATATTCAGGACTTGCACATATATTAAAATACACTGGCAACAAAGTTATGGAAGACACTGCCTGTTTAATTTTTTATTAAAGTGGCAAGTTTGTTTGCCAGAATCAATGCGTTTGTATGAGATAGAGTTCTTGAGAAAACTGATGGAGGTTTTTCATAGACATTGAAGGGTATTGAAAAATGAGTTGCTGAATGGGAAGTAAAAGAATTTCTGGGAGATATTGGGAACCTGACTGATACATCAAATAATATATATTTTTTCTAACAATGTTCAACTACTTTGGTATAGGAACTAAGAAGGTGCTTGAAACAATTATCCAGTTTTGTAGTTTTGTTGAGGGGGTGTTGCAGAATGATGGCAAGGAAATTGAGGGTCCTCATTATTTTAATCATGGGATCCAAGGGAGAAAAAGAGGCCAGGAGAGGCTGATTCTGAAAGAACATTAGGTATCAAGGGACATGGTAAATCTAAAAACCACATAGTTTTAGGAGTAACAGTAAAACCCAATGAATGGACATTTTTTATGAAAAAGTGGAACATTTATATTTGAGAATTCAAGGATGGAAAAATTTCAGGATTTAACGTTGAGAGGAAGTCCCTGAAAGGGAGCAGAGATGAAGGTCATTGGAGATATGGAAGTTAAGAGAAAGAACAAAGGAAGACATCAGAGGGGTCATCCATCTGAACTCCAAAGTCACTGGAGATTATGATAGATCGGTGGAATTTGGGTGGAGAGAAAACTTTGCCTCAGAGGCCAGGTTTTACAATGAATGTGAAGGATTGACTTGGAAGACAGTTGAGACAAGAATAAGTGGAAAAGACGCTATATCGAGAAGTTAACCTCAGTGGAGCAATGATATTCAGAGGCATTGAGGGTAATGATTTGGAAGCCTGAATGGCAAGTGAGGATAGTACTTGTTCCCACCTCAGGTGCCTATGACCTAAAAAAATGATCTGAAGAAGCTTCAGGGAGGAGGTATAATGCTCAAAGAGAAAACAAACCACTCAACCAAACTGACGTCATATTTTACCCCTAAAATCCTTTTCATTGGCTTCATTATCAGATGTATTAACCATCTGCAGGTATCTTTCCCTCTCTCTAGCAGGTTTAGAAACTACAGCAGACACTTTTTAACAACAGAGCATATATTTGTATTTAAGCCAAGGTGATCTAGGCAAGCTCAGATTTATGTTTATAAAATAAATTGTGATATTACATTAAGTAATTCTGCCAAATATTTTCAAGCAAGGATTTAAAACTGCTTTTTGGTACATACATGTATTTCATAAAATTTTTCCTAAAGTTAAGTTTTTCCAGTCATTATTGTTTTGAGATAAGCTATTTGGGGTGTAGAGCACTTTATTATGGGGACAGAACGCAGATTCTATAAATAGTATAAAGTCTGCTATTGACAATAGCTCACTAACAAATACCACTATCTGGTAGTCACTTCAGATTGATTAATGAGTTGATTATTTAGGGCTGAACGCTTGTTAAAACCACTGGGCCGCAAGGCAGCGTGTTAAACCGTGCAGCTGTGAAACTGCAATATAATCCACGAGCTGATAAAATCTGGAAATATTTAATCTGTCTATTATTTAAAAATTATTATTCAGCATTCATAAGTAGAGGGTGAATCTGATTGTTAGTTGATGTCATCAAACACCTATGTTCTGTCTCTTGTTCTGCACAACATCCTCAGGTCACAATATAGAATCAGTTGTCACTTGTAGGCACAGCAACAGCTGGCCAGAGAAGAGAGACACATCCTTCCAGGCAGAGCTTTGTAATGAGAAGAAAACCTTTCTCAGAAGTGCTCAAGATGCCTGTCTTCAGGTACCAGTCCACAGTCAGTGCTCATAGCCCAGCTGCCTGGGGGCTGATACATGTACTCTATGATACTTTGGGACACTGGGGGAGGGGAGTTTTCTGAGCAAGGAAAAGTGTGGAGGGAGAAAAGCATTGAGTGTAGACAAACTATTTGACTTGCCCCCTACTAACTCCTTCATGCTTATACAGCCTAACTAATAGAAATCAAAATTTCATGAGTGTCATCTTTCCTGAACCACAATATGTACGGCAAATAGAGCAAACATTGGACTCCAATTGAAATGAATGATACCCGGACAGGCATATTTATTTATTTGACTCTAAATAAACTGTCTCAAAGAATTTTAACTGAGAGACTGATTAAACTAAAAAGTATCCTTAGATAGAACAAACCTAAATATGTCTCATATTTATCAAAACTAATTGGCATTAAGATATTTACCTGTACTACCATTACTGCCCATCTGGTGATACTGTATTTGGACCTGGACTTCTTTTAATCTTGTTTCTATCCTTCCTTACCTTCCGGTGGGCCAGAAGTCCCATTGTTGTCTAGCAAAAGTCTAGCTGGACAAAGATGACTGCATCAGCAATGTTGTTGAGCTCTCACAAATAAAAAGAATTCAAAGACCCCACAGTGATGCTGAAAACTCAGCATAGAACGTCTTCATGTGAACCAGAACTTTATTTGACCTTTGCTAGCTTGAGATCAGCAGCAGCAGCCAGGAGACAATGACTCATTTCTGAATCAACCAGGATAATTTTCACACCTGTCTTTAAAAAGCTTTGCCCCAGGAATCCAGAGTCCCAGGGAAAAGATAATCTGTCTATTTCTAAAAGCCCTTCAAAAGAAACAGGGGCCACACTTGCAGCCCAAGGGGCATCCATTCTATTAAAAGAATGGGGTTACAGCATTGTGCCCGACCCCATGCCTACCACTGGCAAAAATATATTAACACATCTGATCCCCAAAACCACCTCCAGCTAGTAGACAGCTATGCTGGAACCAAACTTTAAAAAGGAAATTTGGGCAGTGCACTGTAGCTCACGCCTATAATTATAGCTACTCGGGAGGCTGAGGCATGAGTTGAAGTGAGCTGAGATCATGCCACTGCACATCAGCCTGGGCGATGGAATGAGACTCTGTCTCAAAGAAAAAGAAATTGCTCCAAAACATAAATTGAAACACTAAGTCTGTCTATCTACCTATCTACCCACCTATCATCTATGTTTCTATGAATATAACTATGTACTATCTGTATATATCTGCACTTTTTTATAATACAGATATATCATGATGGCTATTTTAGAAAGGGCATTGTGTATATGAAATGTTTTATACCTAAAAATATTTTTTAAGAGTTTAGGGTGTCTATAAACACACAGACAGGTTATTATTTACATCCTTGTAATGCCAATTTGTCTTCCAGAAAGTGTGAACAGCAATTCATTTTAAAGTTACTTTGGTATTTGGAGATAAACAGCTTGGTTATTCTTTGTCCCCTATCAAGCATCTGTCAAAGTCAAGGATGAAACAGAGTGTTTTGTGTGTTTGTGAGCGATTCTCCTGAAGTCACAGGATTGTTTCTCTTTTGGTAGCCCTTTCTGTATTAGCAAATATTTAAATGTATCCTCCACATGGAGCTTTCAACTGTGAAATTAACCTATCCCCAAGACTCCTTTGAGTAAGACCAGGTGTTTCATACGATTGCCCTTCTACCTACAGCAAGAATCCCCTAGGGAAGAAGAGAGGAAGTAAGATTTTTGACATTTGTGCCATGAAAAAGTGTCAATAGATAATCTGAAAATGTCCAGAGGCATTCTACCAAAATGATCTAATAAGTACTAACTTTTTAAATGTAATACAAGACTCATCTCTCTTTCTTGTTTAAAACAAAAAGCTCCCCCACTCCCTTCTCGCACTTAAGCTACAGCTATCAAAGATTTAACGATTTCACCATTGGACATAGTTCAAACACTATGGGCAGGAAAGAATGTTCAGCTGTCAGGGAACCAGCCCAGCCAGGGTGCTCCAGACAAATCGCTGTACATCATCAGCTGGTTTTAATTAACAGCAGACTCTGTGCTGGTTTTTCTTTCCCCCTCTTTCTTTGGCGACTTTACACAAAGTGATTTGTAGTGTTCTGTCTTATACGGTATCTACCCCACTGGAAACAGAGGATGTTCACGAAAATAAAGTAGATTAGAGTATCGAAAGGATGCCTTGAGATTATTGTCATGGCCCTAGACGAAGAGTGAGTTAAGTTAGTCATTTTTCCTTCTAAAGGGCCGAGTCTCTTGCAAAGTCGGATTCCATGGTTCTTATTATGCTAGATTGTTATTAATGCTGATCTAATATTAAGGACATTTTATCTTGCAGTTAATGAAAAAATACTTTATACTGCAAATGAAACAGCTACAGTCAATGGAGATTTTTAGAGCTTTATTTAATAAAAGCTTCCCTTAGTGAGTAAAGACATTTCTCAGCAAGTAAAGATTTCCATCATTGAGTAAATCCTTTTGTAGTCATCAAATAATAAAAATATGATTATTGGAAGACACCTTAGAGATATGCATTCTGATCTGTTTATTATATAGATGAGAAGATATTTCTTTCCTGAAGAATGATTGAATAAAACTAAATGTCCAGAGATAGAATTTTCCCTGAGGCCGTGGGGCTTGGTACTCAGAGCATCACAGGCTGCATGCATATGACTGGCTCCCTTGGAAAAAGGGGCCTCAAAATGATTTAAAAACATTTAACATATTAACACAAAAGATTGTTAAATATTAGTACTTCTCTTTTATATATAAACTGACAAGCATAACAACTATTTGACTAATTGGCCATAGTGCCCAATTTGTTGATTGGTAAAAGCAGAATTAGAACTCAGTATCCCCTAGTTGCCTTGAATAACTTCAATCTTTGAATTTCTTGTACTACATTAAAAAATTAAACATTGTTCATCACACAGCAGTTGTTTTCCTCCACAGGCCCAGACATTTTCTGGCCAATGGCGAAACAGTGCAATATAGTGGCCGTGGTCATGCTCTCAAGCCAATGTTCCTGGGTCTCAGTCTTCCACCTATCACTGACTCACTGGGTAAAGTCCAATGAGTCATCTTGCTTTCTCTGCCTTGGCTTTCCTGTCTGAAAAGTGAGGGTAAAACTATTATCTCCTTTCTGAAGTGGTTGTGAGAATTAACTGTTAATACGTGTGAAGCTTAGAACTGTGCCTGGTCCACAGTTCTGGAGTCATGCTGGCTTAGTAATGTGGATCTTCACCCTTCCTGCTCCAACTTCCAACAACACGATGTCAAAAACTCAAGGCATCCACTGTGGGCCTTTATTACTCTGTAAATTATCTTGGCTTCAACACTTTTTGCTGTGGTTTTGAGAAAGAGGAGGCTTGTAAATAGTCTTTTAATTTCAGTAAAACTCACTGGTATTTTTAGATGAAATCGTCAAGAGCAATGACACGCATATCTACAAAGTGTCACCTGATGCCACTTTCAGGAGCACAACAGGGGCTGAGTAGGTCACTGCCTTGCTACAGAGAGACATTTGAGATGTCCTCATGTGAGTCTGACTCCACATTGGGTTACTCAAGAGCACCAATTTGTGAAGTTAGAGAGATGTAAACCCAAACTCACCTTCTAGTTTTAATAAATGCCCACTGTGTCAGAATAGTTGTAAATGGCACACTCTGATTAATCACATAATTAGCAGAGGTGCTGCACATATATCATACCCAGTGTATGAAGCTTTGATGAATTACCAGAGGATGGCAATTGGTGACTCAGGGACCAAATCTGGCCATATCTTGTTTTTTGTGTGGTCTCATGAGATAAGCATAGTTTTTCCTTTATTAAAGCATTGCAGGGCTGGGGCAGTGGCTCACACCCATAATTCCAACACTTTGGGAGGTCGAGGGAGGTGGATTAACTGAGGTCAAGAGTTTGAAACCAGCCTGGCCAACATAGTGAAACCCCATCTCTACTAAAATATAAAAATTAGTTGGGTGTGGTAGCAGGAGCCTATAATCCCAACTACTCGGGAGGCTAAGGCAGGAGAATCCCTTAAACCTGAGAGGCAGAGGTTGCAGTGATTCGAGGGTGAGCCACTGCACTCCGGACTGGGCAACAGAGTAAGACTCTATCTAAAAAAAATTGTAAAAATAACAAAGAATATGCAACACAGCTGCTTGTAGCCATGACATTTAAAAGATTCACTATTTGGTCCTTTATAGAAAAAAATGTGTTGACCTCTGAGTTAGGATTTAACAAAATGACTCTAACATAAAAGCCACATGGCAGGGAGGATTGGGAGGGATAACACCAGGAGAAATGCCTGATGTAGGTGACAGGGGGGTGGGAGGATGGAGACAGCAAACCACCATGGCATGTATGTACCTATGCAACAATCCTGCAGGATACAGGATGTGCACATGTACCCCAGAGCCCAAAGTACAATTTTAAAAAGAAGTTCATAGCAACAACAACAACAAAAAGCCATGTGGAGCATAATCTTTTGTGATTCCAAAGGTACTTTTGACTCTTACAATATCTCAGGTTCAAGATTACAAATATCAATGACGACTGGACTACACAGTGGTTAAAAGTAGGAATTTCTGAAATCAGACTGCCTTGGATCAAATCTAGACTGTACCACTTATGAAGTGTGTGATTCTTATCAAGTTACTTAATCTTCCTAAGCCTTGGTTCCCTCATCTGTAAAAAATGAGCATTAGAAAAGCCACCTCATGCGGCTGATGTGAGGATCAGAGGAGATAATGCATACAAAGCACTTTGCACATGGGAAGTCTTCATTAAATGCTAGTTGTTGTCGTACTTCCCAGAAAATTAGTCTGGTTTCTTTGAACTTCCTGGTTATTTACAGCTTGTGTGATTCCAAGTAGACAACACTGTCATCCTGGCCGGAATGACCTATCCGGTTTCCTGACTCTAAGTGGGATATCTAACTGATGGCATGCACATTACAATGC